ATCTGACATTCTCGAAAATGATAAAAAAAAATTTTATATAGCATTTTCTGAACAGCCTTAAATACATTCAGTATAGCAATATTTCTATGAAATAGAAAATATCTTCATTCTTGGGATTTAAAAAAAATTTATAAGCGAATAAAATTTCAAAAAACGCTGTAAAAGTAATGCATGTTTATATTTCTCTTGAATGTATTATAAGTATTAAGAACTAATAAATTAATTGATAAGTTTTAAATATTTCTTTTAAGTGTAACTTCTTATTAAATTTAATGTTATTTTGGTTTAATCAATAAAATTATTTTAGTTTCTTAGCTTACCTTATTTTTGTGTAATTAATAATTCCTACTGAGCCATGGGTAGTATAGTGGTTAGAGCATCAGACTCTAGATCGGAAGGCCTGGGTTCGATGCCCGATGCCACCAAATACCCTCCGAGTACACACGGAGTACGTGCTCGTTAAATCAGTGGGTTCGAAAATCTTGTAGGCGGTCGCAGCAGAAATCACATGTGCAGGGGGCTGGATAGTATTTCCCTCCCCTTCAGTTCCATACCTGAATTGTGGAAGTAGATGGCGTCGCCATCTATCATACAAGAGGTCCAATCTGTCTGAGACTCTGGCAGCTTCCATCCGGGAAGGACACAACAACAATAATTCCTACTGTTACATAATTTTTTTAAAAAAAAATCTTTCCTTAAGTAGACTCCCATATGTGTGTTGCTATACTAAATAGTACTTCAGTGATATTGATGTTGAAATTGTTTTTCTTATTATAAATACAAGTGCGTGTTAAGAGTGTAGTTTTATACCTAAAAATTTACATCATTAATGTTATTATTGATTTGACTGAAATTATATAATGTAGTCTGGATTAAAATTCTGATTTCTTCCAAATGAATAAATTTATCAATATACCAGCATAAATAGGATGTATTTTTTATGTTCATGGAAATAATAATGGTTATTATTACTAGACAAGTACATTTACTTTAAAAAATACTGATTACACACACACTTAACACAAAAATCAACGTGTCAGAAAGACATATCTGACTTGTACAAAATTACGTATGCACTTTCTTTATAACATAAAATACCACTAATTTTTGGCAGCCAATAACTGGCTACCTGTAGCTCCAGCGCTTTGTAATGGAGCATCATGATGGAAATAAAACAACACATACAGATGATTGCAAACTTTCCAAACTTTCGTCACGATGCTATCATTTGATGTTGTTGGCAGGAATTGGCGAACCATGGCTTATAATACATAATTAATTTTACAAATTCTCTTTATAAAAATTCCTCAATTGCATCGATTATTGTATTTTGTTCTGATAAATATGATGCTATTCTTAAAAAAATGTAATGCGTTTAATTTGTTATCTGAAAGGTCTTTTCATTTTAAAACATCCCTTTTCAGATAACAGATGGTGGGGCTTTGTAAATCATAAGCAAATATTTCAAAATAAGTATCTATTGTTAGTTTATTGATGTAGTTAAATAAAAAATTGCAAAGATATTTAGTTTTACTTTTTATTCATTCCACATTGTTTAAAAATTATAAAAAAAATATAAATTATATAAGCATAGAATTCTTTTTAATATTTTGTATACATATATATATATATACATACATATGTATGTATACAAGTTGTAATGCATATTATTTTGTATTATTTAAAAATATTTTATAACTGGCCAATTTTTGCAACATTTTTAATCATTCAACTAATACTTGGATCCCTGAATCTGGCAATAGCTGTTTATTTTTCTTTTTGAATCTAGAATTGATTCTAGAGTTTTATATATTTCTTGGTATGCATCTTTTTTCACTTCATCATTGAATTCAAAACATGCATCCATTATATTCTTACGGATTTCGCTCAGAACTTTAAGCTAAAGGGAGGAGTTTGGCTTACCATAAAAATAATTCTAACCCCTCGAATACAGCAGTATTCATCTTTAATACCTAAATCTTATGTATGTGTGCGTGTGCATTACGTATACTGTAAAACGGTAAACTAGAGTTATAAAAGCTATTTTACATTTATGAACTGATCAAGTTTAAGAGCATCAAAATTTCTTTAATTTCTAATTTGTTCAAATTTATTATCGAAAATTTTACGCATATGATCTTAAACAAAAAGGAAAGGTAAATATAAATTGAACGGTCTCTTGTTAAAATAAATTTGGTCGTTTTATATATATATATAAGAACGCAAGTTTTACAAAACAAATTTTCTCCTTAATGTATGAAAACGAGAAAATTTCTTCAATTTAAACATGATTTCCTACGAATGTTTTAGATTTATTTTAGACAGAGGGATATTTTAAATTATATAAAGAAGTTTTAGTAATATAATTCGGACAAACAAACGAAAAAGATAGCTTTTTCACAAAAATATTTAACACGTTGCTATTCTGTTGTGTTATTGCACAAGAAGAATGAACATGTTAAGTTTTTGGATGTACAATAACTTGAGAATTAAAAAAACACACACACATTTTAAAAAATCCTCAGCTTACCAAAAGAATCAATTCTCCATTCCATTTTTATATTTTTTTTCGTTTACAGAAGAATCCGCCATTTGTAGAATGGTTAGTCTTTTCAGATTGTTAGTTTTAGGTTTCCTTCATTGATTTTGTGTCACTTTCTTAACCTATCGCATCGCGGCAAAAGTTTTCGGAGTTGGGTAGCTTGATTCATTTGGATCGTTAAGGTTTATAAAGAGGATAAAAAAAGACACGTGAGATGGAATAGCTTTAATGTCTGACATTTCTCTTTAGTGTGTTCGCACATTACACGGCTAAATGGAACGGGCGGCACATTTATTAAACGACTTCCCCTTCTTGCCTGTCATTTGTAAACTGCCGATTGTACTCAGTAAGATCACAAAGAGAAGTAATTCCAGCTTTCAAAGTATTTTTTTCCATTTAGATTATCAAAAGTCTATAATGGGAAGAGATTATTTCAATTTTTTTCGATCGTTTTAGTGCTCCTTCAAAAAATGAGTAAAGACGTCAAGAAAAGGAAATTATATTTGCCATTAACGCAGTTATAGACTTCTGTTTTAGCTTATGAGCCTACATGATATAATTTTCTGTGCTTTTAACGTATAAACGTAATGCAATTTTCCTTCTTTTGATTTCTCTGAAAAATTAATTGAAAACATGATAAAAGCAATGAACGAGTTAGCTGTAATTTTTTAAAGAAGTGCACGAAATCTTAAGGAGCGTACATCGAGGAGAAAAAAAATCTCAACACCAAAAAATATATTGCAGGCTAGTGAAACTTTAACAATATATTTAATTGATTAAAGTTTCAAGATCACAGTTTTATATAAGAACGAGAAGAGATATTTCAAATGTGAAATGAGGTTACTTTTTTTTAATAACCAATGTAGTTATTAGAACTTTGAAAACAAGTATACAAGGGTGCATGTATAGTGTCCTTCAAACACCGATTGTCAATCTCTGCCACGAGTAGCAACACATTTGGCTTAAGAAAGAAACACATACCTCTGGCTGCCATGGTGCCATGAATCAATATTTAAGGTGACGTGTATCGTGTGGAAACCCATATTATCATACCAATTGCGGAAACAGTGTTCAGCTGTTCAGCGAAGGGAGGATTGAGACATTCACCTTTGAGCTTCCACACTCGCACACGGTTGTCAACACTGTCCTAATTGAATCTGAGTTCTTTGCTAAATACGACCTGATTCCATTTGGTTGTAGTCCAATCCCTTTGAGCGCATCACCACTTTAAACAGAGGTGATGGTGTGTCGGCGTCACACACACACACACAATGGCAATACACTAGAAATTTCCCTTCAAACAAACGCCTTGCAATGGTACGCACTGACACAGAGGCTCGTAGTAATTAAGTTCTTGGGTGGATGGCGGACAATGAGATAGTTGTTTCTATGCGTGCGTATTGTATGATGTGACGGTCTTCTCGACTACTGGTCTGCTGAGGCGTCCTGAGTCTAGTCGCCTTGTAGCAGATATCTATGTTGTCCTCTGGTCCCAATACCTTCTCACAGTAAATTCAGAACAGCCCACGTGGCGAGATACACAACGAGCTGAGCACTCGGTTTCTATCATGTGTATGATTCTTCCACTCTCGAATACTGACAGCTACTCATAATGTTTTCAATGACATCTCTGGTTAAAAAGTATCTCTCTGTAACGGATTAAATGCGTGTAAATAAGCTCTATTTACATGTTTTATATCCCAAGGAGAGTGAATTTTAGCGCCCTCTGGTGGCATTACGCAAATGCTCAATCCCGCTGCTTTTCTAATCATTTACATATCTGCCTAGCATGCTTCCTTATAACCAAACTCTTATTTATTAATGAGCATATTTTTATGGCAATGAGTGCATCATAGTTAGAAATGTTTTGAAATATGAGTATAAAATTACTTTTACATGTAGTTTTTAGTTTAAATCTGAATAGAATGTATCTTTTATCATTTAAGTAAAACAACTATTTTCGTTGTGGAGTTGTAAGTTTTGAAGTACCAATAAGAGTACAAATGTTTGCTATTTTCCCTAACTAATGCAAAATAAATTATTTATTCATTTATTTAAATACGGCTTATTTATTTTTTCTTTGAGAATTATGTATGAGACACTTCCGTTTTTCTTTGCCTTTTATTATGGAATTAAATATATTTTTGTTTGTATACGAGTATTTACTTTTAATGAATGGGGCAAGTGTGGTCATATTTTTTATCACGTTTTATTACAGCAAATTATCATAATTTTATTTTCTATTATTTTAGTTTTTCATTTACTTCTTTACCTTAATGCATATAAATTTTTGAAGTTATACTTCTTTGTGTTCGTTAGAGAAATAGGATGAGGGTAAATTTTGACGATGCTCGCGCACACCGTGACAGATGCGAAAATGCTTTGTCTAAAAATACACAGAATGGGACAGATCATTCCTGCCTTCGACATTCTCAGGAAAATATTTCTCTCCACTTCCCCGGGGTACCCGGGTTCGAACCGGGACATCTCGATCTGTAGTCGAATGCTCTACCACTGAACTATACCCCCGCGTCAGCAACCCTTTGCTATTCTTTCCGTAGGAAAGGATACGAAAAGGCTTTGTCTAGAAATATACAGAACGGGACAGATCATTCCCGCCTTCGAAATTCTCAAAAAAAATATTCCTCTTCACTTCCCTGAAGAAGGGGGAACCCTGATTTGAAACGGGGACCTCTTGATTAGCAGTCGAATGCTCTACCACTGTGCTATACCCACCTTCGTGTCAATGAACCTTTGTTTTGTGCTGGTTTATGACGTCACTACTAACTAGTATGGAGAGATCGTCTTTCGCCTGGGAAGCTTCTCTGATGCATTTGTTTGAACAATTTTTGTTATTAAACCAAACATGCTTACAGGAAATTAAAAAAGATTAGTAAATTAATCTTTAAGGGCACATGATTTTTTGAAAAATTATCGATTTTAACTTTTTTACATTTTTTAAAAGTTCAAACATATATTTTTGCATAAAATTATATGTAGTATATAGAAATATGATAATTAGAAGTATTTTTATTTATTTTTTAAAAAGAAGTTACCTTCATTGACACGCAGCGTCAAATGAGCTCCTCTAGGAGACAGTTCATCATGCATAATTTTTTGATGACAGCACGATTTATTTTGTCAACTATTAGCATAATCTTTTTCTTACGCATAAACGAAATGTTTTTCTTTTGAAGAAAGGAAAAGACAACTCAACACAGTTAATTTTTTTTTTCGTTTGGTTTATTGTTAAATGTGATTATATGTTCTTATTTGAACTTGTTGATTGTGAAATCTAATTTATTTATCTGGAATTTTTTCTTTCTGTTTAATCCAAGTTTTACATTAAATTATTTATTAGTATTTTATTAACGATAAAAATTATGGAGAAATCTATAAAAGTATTTAGAAAACTTTAAAAAGTTGGCGTTCAAGAAATGAATGTTCCAACTATTACATCAGACATCATAGAAACTGTTATTCAAAGTGCTTCAAAACGAAAACTTTTTTCAAACAACAGTTTATATGAAAATATGGAAGGGAGTAATGAAAAAATGTTTTAATAGATTTAAATTTTTTGAATAATGATTTATTGAACTTTGCTGTTTGTAAAAACTGTGGCCATTCCCTCCCACTGGAGGCTTCTATAAGAGTTGGAATTGTGTATTACATGGAACTCTTTGTTGTAGGGTTTTCTAAAAAAATATGGTTTCCTTATCTCAACTGAACTGAGGAATGAAAATTAACTTTTCCACTCAAATATCAGATTGGTATTTGCTTTTAGATCTATTGAAAGAGGTCGCTCTGCTGTAGAAACATTCTGTGGACTTATTAACGTGCCATCTCCGCCTGAAAAATTCCGCACCTATGCAGAATTGTTGTTCGTCTCTACTAAATTTGTGAAAAATCAGAGAGAAATTCTGTTGTAGAGGCAAAAAGAATGGAAGATAGCTGTGACATACATATTGCTATTGCATTAGATGGCTCATGGCAGAAAAGAGAATATTAGTCCCTTAATCGCTACAGCTACGAGTGTCGATGCTGGAAAAGTTATTGACTTTGAAGTCTTTTCGAAACATTGTCGGTGCAAAGCTGCATTTAATTCTGCTCATGAACCATCGTGTATTGCCAAATATAGTGGCTCAAGTGGAAGCATGGAAGGGAAAAGTGTAACGGCCGTATTTGAGAGATCCGAAGCTCATTATGTCGTTCGTTACACAAAATATGTGGGCGATGGAAATTCAAGAGGTTTTTTTCATCGATACTTGCCCTGAACCCTTATGACACCCAAGTGGAAAAATTAGAGTGTGTTAGGCATAACCAAAAGCGCATGGGTACTCGTCTTTTGGATATCAAGAGAAAAAACAGAGGAAAAAATTAAGTGATGGAAAAAGCCTAAGTGGTCACAACCGACTCGCCGACAATTTAATTAAAAAAAATCAGAGGTATGGTACAGCCATTAAACAATACCTATGATTTAGAAAGCATGAAAACTGCTGTTTGGGTTGTTTCTTTTCATCTTTTGTCTACAAATGAGAGCCCTCAACATGGATTGTGTCCTGCGGGTACAAATTCATGGTGCAAGTTTCAAAAGGCAGAAGCTGAATTAAACGAAAAGTACTATGATCATAAAAAAACATACACATGTTTTGTGCCATTTTCCATCATGAATGATATTAATCCAATTTTTAGAGATCTAGCTGAAACTATGTTATTAAAAAATACCTATATGGAAAGACTCAAAACCCCAATGAGCCAATTAATAATTCCATATGGTCAGTGATTCCAAAATCTACGTTTGTAGAGTTAAAAACTCTAAAATTAGGGGTAAAAATATGGCAATTGCACACAATTCAATATGAGTCATAAAGCAAAACTAATCATCCTAAAACATCGTGGTTTTAATTGTGTGTCATGCTTTAAAAAATTATATGCATGTAGGATTCGTGTAGCCGAACGAAAGCATCTTGAGTTACAAAAAAGTGCTAGGTTGCTAAAAATAATGAAGAGAAAAAAAAGAAAATTAGAAGAGTCTTTTATAGTAGCAGAGGGAGGGGCGGGGTGCAAAGAAAATGTTTCATAAGCTTCTGGAAAGTATTAGAAAAGATAAATCCTCTAAAAGTACAAATTTTTAACTTTAAAGCCTGTTTTCTCAAATGCAATATTTTTCACTTTATGTACCTTTTTCTCAAAAATTAATAAATGTAGAATACTCAAATTTTTAGTCAGCATACTTTCAACATGTTTATACATTTTAATGGAGGAAATAAGATATATAAAGCGAACTTTTTTATATAAGGTATTTTTAAACTAAATTTTAAGGAAAAAAATTTGACATTTTTTAAAAAATTCATAATTATTTTAATTTTTAACAGAAAGATCTGCATTAACATTTTATTGATAGTATGTATAACCTACTGTGAAAATTTCTTCAATGAGTAGCAAGTAGTTTCTGAGAAAAAGGTACATAGACTTACGTAATTCAACATGGACTCCTATAGAAGTTCCGGGTCCCTTAAATTGTGTTTCATGTACATTAAACATAATAAGAGTAAATATTAGTTTACCTATTTAAGGGGTGTTGGAAACCTATCTCTTTCTCTATACTGACGATGTTAAATTGTCTGTTTTCGATGTACCTTTACTCAAAATCTGTTTTATGTACATGCTTGAAATTTTTCATACTATTAAAGTATACCTCTCTCATTAAACTAAAATGAGCTTTTAGCTAATTTTGAATTTTTTAATAAATTATGAAATATTTTATCAAACATTGTGAAATTTAACCCATTTTTTACTTAAAAAATTTGTAAAAATTAAATTTTTGAGTTTTTTTACAAAAAGCTCATTTTAGTATATATTAGACATCATTATAAATAATTCATGAAAAATTTACAAATCTGTGAACAGTAGTTTCTCAGAAAAGGTACATCGCATATTAAAATTTACATTTTGAGATAAATTGATTTTAATGTATACAGTGAGACTTCTAATCGACTAGGAAATAAAAAAATAAAAGGCTCAATTTAAAATAAAAGATACATGTTTTGGTTTATATCAGTCGTTACACTTTTAAGCAAAAACAAAGTCATTTGTTTACAATTTTCGCCATTAAAATGGGCGTGGCCCAAATTCAATGATTATTTAAAAATACGTTTTAAGGGCTTCTAAATACCCTAGAGGTTAAAGTAAGGTATTTTTAGAAAGGTTAAAATCTATATAGTTTGAAAATGTAAAAATCTCAAATTGTCAAAAAAATAAGATTTTAGCTTTTCCCCTTAAATAACAATAACAAGTATATGATTATAGATGTATTTACTACGAACGCATTGCGATGAACATAAACATATTTATTACATTGTAGCAAATTATAAGAGCCTTTTGTATTCGTGTATTTATTTTTAAAGTTATACTTCTTTTTTGGGAGTTAGGGAAAAAGAATGAGGGTAAATGTTTACGATGCACGCTCATACCTTCACAACACCGATGCATGCGCGCACACCGTTCTCTAATATTTTAACATGCCACTTTTTTGGTGCTATGGGACTGATATTTGGGGGATCATAATAACTATTGTTATAAACCGTATCTGTTGGGACGCATCCCCCTTCTACAGCTTTTTGGCCAATATCTCGGCACCCGAGCCTCACAGTCCATTCGTACCTGGCTCATTTGATCCCTCTCTATCTGATCTTCCAGTTATAATTTCATGCTCATAGGGCTATCTCTTCCATAGTTTTTAATTGTCTTCAACATTTTAGATTTGTTTAAATTCACAATATTTTCGCTCTTGTTCGAGTCTCGGACTTGAGATTTGAACCAACTGTTCCACTCGTCGAGACCCATCCAGTCATCTACTTCATTCCCATTGTGTAGGCATGGAGAGGACTTAAGCACTAAAATATCATGCTCTCATGTTAATCTTATGGGGACTGGAAAAAATTCCCCCTTCCCCCCAAAGGGATTGAGCTTGGAACTTGATTTTTGGAGATCCGCCATATTTTCGTATTAGCGCGAGCTTCACGTGGAATTGGCCCTCTCCCCCGAAATAATTCGAATCCTATCCCACCTTGGTTGACAGCACCGGCTGGGTTCGATTTTTCTTCCTATGAGCATCCTAGATGTATTTTTCAGGACCCCATTTCTTTACCTATATTTAACATTTTTAAATTATTTTAAAGTTATAATTTTTTTTAAATCCTGTATAGCTCCGAGGATTTTTGAGATTCGTTAATGAAACTCAGACCATTGGTTTTCCTCGTTGAGCTGTATCATCTGTTATAATTCATGTGTAGATAGTGGGCTTAGGGGGGGATTATCACTAAAATTAGAATCACTATGTTATTCCTATAAGATTCGATCTTTTGATGACGTAACGATATTACAGAGATAGAAGGATTAAACTTTTATATATCACCTACTACTCTGTGTATCGTTGGAATGTACGTGACCATTTACGTCACAGCTGTCCCTCCCCCGGGGGTTAGTTTCGTTTTCCTTTCCCGAGCTAACTCCGCCCCATTTCAAAAC